AAAAAAAAGGTCTGATCCAACCCTTTCATTTTATAAATGAAAAGATGAAGCCCCACATGTGAACTAACTTGCCTAAGGTTACATAGCTAGTGTATAGCTGGAACTTGGAGCCAAGTGTTCCTTATGTCTTTCACTGCTTGTACTACTTTTTCTCAAAGTTGGTCTGCATCTGCTGATGCCAGTCTTGCTTGTATTCATAGATTTTGTCCTTTGTCCATTCTCTTTCTATTAAAAGTGAACTCCAAGCCGGGCTCGGTGGCTCAGCCTGTAATCCCGCGCCTTTGGGAGGCTGAGGTGAGTGGATTGCCTGAGCCCGTGGGTTCGAGACCCGCCTGGGCAGCGAGACCTCATCTCTACAATAAATCAAAAAATCAGCTGGGCGTGGCAGCGCATGCCCGTAATTCCGGCTACTTGGAAGGCTGAGGCGGAAGGATCGCCGGAGTCCAGCAGGTGGAGGTTGCGGTGGCCGGGAGCGGCCACTGCACTCCAGTCTGGGCGACAGAGTGAGACTCCAACTCAAAAAAAAAAAAAAAAAAAAAGTGAACTCCAATTCTGAATATAGCTTTCTTGTTAGGCCCAGAATCTATTTCTGATTGAGCACCTGGATTTGCTTCTTTTCTTTATTTTTAATTTTAATTTTTTTATTTTAAAGATGTAGGGTACAATTCAGGATTAGGTAGATAAGTAGTTATCATACAGGTAAAATTTGGGCCTCAAACATCTTGCCAGCCCCTCCAAGTAGGTGAACTTTTGGTAAGAGCTTTGTTAGGTCTGTCTGGTTTAGCTCTATGGCCGTCTTATAGCTGAGATGCGCAGAAAGGATCCCACATCTCCATAAGAAGCCCCAGGGTTTCTCCAGGTAAACTAGACTCTCCTGGACAAAGTTGAGCAACTTCAGGACTTTCCCAGTTGTGACATGGCCAAGATGTTCAACTCTTCTGTGATTGGGAACCTAGTCTACTGAACATACCATGAGGGCACTGCCATGTTCTCTCTCTAAAGAATATGTACTTTCTTCTAGGATAGTCTCTTTATTAGGAAGGATAATAGTCATTTACAAATTTAATCTCTTCTTTTAATATGCAACTACAGTGCCTGACTTGACCTTTAAAAATTTGCTGTCACCACACAATATCAGAAAGCAGGAATGAGGACCAACAAAAAGTTGTGAATGCCATTAAAAATGAATTATGAAAACAATGACATTAAATCTTTTTTTTGGTTTAATTTTGTTTTTCTGTTGAGTCAGAATCTCACTCTGTCATCCAGGCTGGAGTATGGGGCACAATCAAAACTCACTGCATTCTTGACCTGGGCTCTGGCAATCCTTCTGCCTCAGCCTCCCAAGTAGCTTGTACTATAGGCATGCACCACCATGGCTAATTTTGTGATTTTTTTGTAGAGATGAGGTCTTGCAATGTTGCCCAGGTTGGTCTTGAACTCCTGAACTCAAACAATCCTCCCATATCTGCCTCCCAAAGTATTGCGATTATAGGTGTGAGCCACTGTACTTGGCCAAATCTTTTTTTTTTTAAACATCGTACATTAAAATAAATTCCAGGGGGACTTAGAATTTCAATATGGTAAAAGAACCCTAATAAAAGACATATAAATAAATGTTTATCTTCTATGAAAAAGATACCTGCACATGCATGTTTATTGCAGCATTGTTCACAATAGCAAAAAAATGGAACCAGACGTGCTGCCCATAGAAAGAGGACTGGATTAAAAGAAAGCATGGTACATATACATGATGGAATATTACACAGCCATAAAGAAGGACAAAATTATGAACTTCACAGCAACTTGGATGGATTTAGAGTCTATAATATGAAGTGATCTATCACAGAAGCAAAGAACTGAATATCACATGTTCTCACTCAAAAGTGGACCTTGAACAATTATCATAATACTATAAGAAAAGGATTGGCAGTAGTGGGAAATTTCCAGGGGGTGGGGATTGGCAGTAGTGGGATTTTGCTGGGGGAGAGGAGGACACACATCATCAACAAGGGTATCTACATGATGAACAACTGCATACTTAACACTGAATTGTATCTCACATCTTTAAAACTAAAAATTAAAAAAATAAATGTTTATCTAATCTGGGGTTGTGAAGATTTTTCTAAGCATAAAAGCAAAGAAAGAAACCTTAAAGAAACAGACTGACAAACATAACTATATTTAAATTGACTTCGTTTCATTAAAAATTGCATGTCAGCAAATTAAAAGGTAAATATCAACTGACAATAGTGTTTCTGAATCAAGGACATAAAACAAAATCAAGGCCATAAGAAGCAATCACAAACACAAATGGCCAAAGGATAGAAAATCTTGAACTTTTTAGTAACGAAATAAAAGCATATTCAAATAGTAAACATTTAAAAAAAATAATACAAGTAGTTTTGGCAAAGCTTTTAGAAATTGGTATTTTCACACATATGCTCCTTGTGGGAATATAAAATGGTGTGGTCTTTCAAGGCAGCAAATTGGCAATATGTATCAAAAGCATTGAACATGCCTGCCCTAAAACAGGCACCCATCAGGTACCAGTACTGGAAGGGGGTGCTCACTAGAAGCCCAAACCTCACCTTCATGCTATCTACTTATATAGCAAACCCTCATATGTACCAACAACTTTAAAATAAAAAAAAAGTAGAAAAATTATTCATGAAACAAACCAGTCTAAAAAGAAGAAGAAGAAAAAAAACCTACTGGAATTTTAGTAGGGATTATGTTCAATCTAAAGGTCTATTTGGGGAGAACTGACATCTTAACAGTATTGAGTCATCAGACCCACAAACAGTATATCTCTCCACTTACTTAGGTTCTGAAAATTTCTCTCAGCAGTGTTTTATAGTTTTCAATGACGTGATCATACATATTTTCTGTCAGATTTATTCCTAGCTATTTCTGATTTTTTGATGCTATTATAAATTGTGTTGTTTTAAAATTTCAACTTGCAATACATTATTATTGGCTATATTCACACTACTGTGTAATAATAGAACAACAGAACTTATTCTTTCTGTCTAACTGTAACTTTTTTATTTTAAAGATGTGGATACAATTCAGGGTTAGGTATACAAATGCTTATTATGCAGGTACCTTGTTAATGAGGTGTGCCTCTCCCTCCCCTTGCAGTTTCCCTCAACTGCCAATCCCTTGCTTATAGTATTATGACAATTATTCAAGGTCTGCTTATGAGTGAGAACATACGATACTCTGTTCTTTGTTTCTGTGATAGATCACTTGTATGATAGACTCTAAATCCATCCAAGTTGCTGCAAAGTTCATATGTTTGTCCTTCTTTATGGTTGCATAATATTCCATTGTGTATATGTACCATCTTTTTTAACGAGTCCAGCTTTGATGGGTATCTGTAACTTTGTACCTGTTGACCAACCTTTCCATATCCCCTCTTCACCCGTTTCTCTCCAGCTTCTAGTACCCACTATTCTACTCTCTACTTTCATGAGAACAACATTTTTAGATTCCAGATGTGAATGAGTGAGATCATGTAGCCTGGCTTGTATATTTCAAGATAGGTAGAAGAGAGGATTTTGAATGTTATCACCAAAAAGAAATGGTAACTATTTAAAGTGATGGATATATGAATTGCCCTAATTTGATCAATATACAGTGTATACATGTATTAAAACTTCATACTGTGCCATACATATATACATTATTATGTGTCAGTTATAAATAAAATAAAACTTTTTTTAAATGCCTGCCTTTTGGCCCAGAAATTCCAATTCTGAATGTTTAGCCTGAGGAAATTATCAGAGATGACAACCAATATTTATGCACAAGGGCATTTAAACATGATTAAATGACTTTGATTTAATCATATACAATGAATACACACACTGAAACATCTTACTGTACCCCATAAATATGTACAATTAGTATGTGTCAATTATAAACAAAAATAAAACTTTTAAAAAAATGCCTGGCTTTGGCCCAGAAATTCCAATTCTGAGTGCTTAGCCTGAGGAAATTATCAGAGATGGCAACCAATATTTATGGATAAGTGTGTTTAGTCATGATTAAATGACTCTGATAAAAACTGCATTTACACAATTGGATACTATGGAAAGATTAAAATTCTGTCTTTAAATCTCATGTTCCCTGCCATGGTTACATCAGCTCCAGAACTAGGCTTATCTAATCTGAAATAGGACTTTAATAAACTAGTTGTTCCTAACTCTGTCCACAGGAAACGATTTGGACAAAATACTGCCTGAAGTGATAAGCAGAAGTAAGAAGGCCCCACAGCTGAGTGGGAAGAGGATTTGGAAAAGCATGAATTTTAAAGGTCAAGGAACATGGACTTTGACATAAGAAAGTACTTATAATATGTTATAGGATAGATTTAAGAAACAGATAACAAAATAGTGGGTATATTAAGATTCCAATTTTGTAAGATGTGTGTGTATTAAATCTACACTGACATGTAGATTAACAATAGTTATCTCTAAGTGGCAGGAAAAGAGCTTATCTTTATTTCTGTGTGTGTGTGTGTGTGTGTGTGTGTGTGTGTGTGTGTGTGTGTGTGTGTGTGTATGTGTGTGTAGTTTTCCAAATTTCCTACTGTTATCATGTATCCAGAAAACAAAATATTATTAAAAAGATGGAGGAGACCAGATGTGGTGGCTCATGCCTGTAACCCAAGCACTTTGGGAGGCTGAGGCAGGAGGATCACTTGAACCCAGGAGTTCAAGACCAGCCTGGGCACCATAGTGAGACCTCATCTCTACAAAACATCAAAAAATTAGCTGGGTTTGGTGGCATGCTCCTGTAGCCCTAGCTACTCAGGAGGCTGAGGTGGAAAGATCTTCTGAGCCCGAGAGTTTGAGGATGGGTGAGCTGTGATCATGCCATAGCATTACAACCTGGGCAACAAAACAAGACACTGACTCAGGTAGAGAGAGAGAGAGAGAGAGAGAGAGAGAAACAGCCTTAGTAAAGGTGATTAGAATCTGTCTGGACCTTACTTTGCTTCCAGGGCCAGAGCGAAGATGCCAGCAGCCAGAGGTGCAGAGGCTGAGGTGCCTGTGTGGGTCTCGGTGCAATCGTTGTGCAGGTCAGCGCTTGTCTGGATGGTATCAGGAAGGAGAGAGAGGCAGGAAGAACACGTGAGGTGTGTGAGCCTGTCCCTAGGGGGCTAACTGCACCCAAGGCTGCATCTGCTACTACCAGGAAACTCAGCAGATTCGATTCCCTGCTTTCTCCTCTCAGCCACGGGCGGATGTTTGCCATCTGCTGATATTTTCATTCACTCTCCTCTATATGCAACTTGTCTATAATTCTGGCAGCAAGACGCCTTTTCTGGGGATGAAGAACTCCTACTATGAATATTTTCTCTTCTGAGATTCCCAAACAAAATGCTGTCTATAAAAAACGAACTGTTGCAAAATCACTGTGAATCATGCCGGCCCTAGTAATCATCAGGTCCATTGTGTTTGGTCTGGCATATTTAGAAATTCTGTCTCATACAAAATTCCCTTGTGGCTTCAGATTGACATTCAGTTGCCTCTTCAGCCCAAGGATGTAAAGCCATCCTGGTCTCAGCCATCTGAACTTCTTGCACACAATTCATTTAGTGTGTAGTTTGCACTCATTGTTGACTAGATTTGATGCCCGTGAGTTAGTGTTCACATTTGCACTCTGATAAAAATGGGGGGGGTTTTTCAATTTTAAAAGTGCTGAACTTAGTTCTGGGTTCAGTTCTAGAACTGCTACTTTTATTTTATGTGTCCTATGGGTAAGTCATGTGGTTCCCCATGTATAACACGCAATTTACATTTCCTGACTCATATTGTGAGTCTTAAATGAGATGCCGTCTGTGAAAGTATTTTTACATAATCCCACTGCATGCAAGGAATTACCTAGGATAACTTTAGAGTAGTGAAGAGGTTGCTGAGATGAAGGGAAGAAATAAAAAATACTTCCCATCAGTCTGCCTTGAGGACCACAGTGCTGCCGGTGGGACTAAGAGATTACTAACAAGACACCCACCCAAGCTCCAGCACGATAGTCGTGGCTAGAGATTTCAATGTGTGGGAGGGAGGTGTAAAAAAATAATTTGTTCTATTATCACCTCCTTTGGTTTTCCACTTGGAGTCGCTGAATTTCTCAAGTGATGGTGGATGCGCTTCTCAGAGGGCTGCGGAAGCAAAGCTGCCCTTTGTACCTGGTGACGCAAGTAAGCCCCCAGAGCTGACTGTGCTACCAAGAGGTTTGCGTAAGAAAAAGGTTCTGTTACTGAAAGTGTCTCAAATAGAATCCACCAGCTGTCTCTCCTATGGCTGGCTTACCTAAGGAGGGATTTTTACAAAGATAAAAAGTCTTTCTTTCGCTTCAGTACAGGGTATCCCAGATGGGGCACAGCCTATAAAATGGTGATTCTAAAATGCCTACCGGGCCTTTTTCTAAAGACAGCTCTGGACACCCCAGGAAATGACATCAGCCAGGGACTCTGAATACAAGTGGGGCAGATGTCTGATATGCCCCTTTCAAAGGCTATAAAATATGCCTGTCATAAAGAACCCCTGGGGAGGATGTTGCCGTCTGTTATTTGAGTAACTGAAGATATGGGCATGAGAGGGAGGCCAGCACTTTCCAGTTGAGGCCACAGTTTTACTGTCCAAATTAGGTTGCAGGAAAGTAATCCTATAAGGAAAAGACAATAGGGCTGACAGTTTGGCTGACATGCCATGACTAGGAATTTAGCACACATTCCAAGTATAGTTAGTATTAGGTTCACTCACTATTGAATTGGATCATGAACTGCTGTTTTACTGATATTAAGATCTACAAACTTTAGCTCATTGGTTCTTTCTGCTTTGGGGGGCAAATTGGGAGCTTCAAAATTTTAAATTAAGAGCACCTCTCTTTGTTCTCACAGCCCCTAAATGCCCCTTCATCATCGTGCCCTTGAAGGAAAATCCAGTAATTGCTGTTGGCAGTGTGACTCATGGAAGGAAGGCACAGGCAGGCGTGGGCTGGAGGAGCTCTCTTGAGCATATAACCTCCCTGAGCCGCCTGCCCAGATGCTCTGTGGTTCACCTCTGGGGAAATCGAGACTGTTATTTTCTGCAGGTCATCCATTCTTAGGAGATACAGCTGGCATAGACTCTGTATTTCTATCATCTGCTAAAGGGCAAGTTAGGCTACATCCCTGGTATCAAAGGATCAGCAAGTACAAGGTGATAAAGCCCCTCTGACCCTGAATTCTTCTTTAAGGCTGTTTCCAGGGAGGCGTCAGACGAGCCGAAGAGACATTTGGAATCTCAGCTGTGTGTCATGACAAGTTTGGTGACTTCTCAGGGCTGAGTTTTAAAATGACAGAGTGGAAGATCATCCTGGCAGAAGTGTCATTATCCCTGGAGAGAAAACCTCCCAATATATGCCAGCCTTTCAAGTGAGTAAGCCCGAGTCTCTCCAACTGAGACATCAAGCTTAAGTAAATCAATTGTACCAAAGGCAGCCAGTAGGATCATTCTGCATGCATGCCATGCTCCCTTGCCTAAGCAGAGAGTTAGACAAAGGCAACATACGATTCGCTGGTCGGTATAGTCCCCGCTGCTGTAAGAGGTGGCCAGTGTGGAGGAGCACTTCTCAGCATACCAGGGGGACAGGCCTTGCTGTGAGGCACTGCTGATAGAGATGGTGTAGATACTGTCTGTGTAGCCATCACAGTCACAATTATCTCCCTGACGTCCCCCATTCCCAGAAGCCCAGACGAAGATGGAGCCCTTCCCTTGTCTCCCCTAAAAGAAAAGCCAGAGTGCATAAAATGTATTATCATCTCTTGGGGGTCACTGTCATACCCCAATAGAAATCCCCAACAAATACATGTGTGAAATTCTTAGAGACAATGAAACCGCCTGTATAAAATCACCTTCTTGTCCTGACCCCTGAGAAAGGGGCAAAGCTGATCAACATAGTCTCTCTCTTAAAAAATAGAGCTGAGACTGCTTGAGGACAAAACCTGAGGTCAGAGGACAAAAGTAAGCAGTTAAAGGTCAAAAGCAGCTTCAATCTCCAGGGACTCCACCTCCCCCTGAACTTTCCCCCAGACTACCTCCAAAGTGGCTCATGGTTTAGGGAATCGTACCTGATGGTCATAGGACTTGCTTTATAGATATCTTCTATTGTAAAACCTAAGAATGGTATTTAAATATTTTTCAGACGCCCAGACCCAGAACAACAGAAAGTTGGTCTGTGGTGTCTCTCCCATAAATTGGCTCTGGGACAAGAAGACAATCTTGACAACCCCCTATGATGTCATCAACCAATCAACAGCCCCTATTCGTCGGCCTTCCAAGTTCCCTTTAAAAACTCTATCCCATTGGCTATCATTAATAAGTCAAAAAAAAAAAAACAAAAAACAAACCAGCAGATGCTGGTATGGGTGCCAAGACAAAAGAACAATTCTCTACTGTTGGTGAGAGTACAAGCTAGTTCAAACTCTATAGAAAGCAGTGTGACAATCCTAAAAGATTGGTCTTCCATATGATCCAGCAATCCCTCTCCTGGGAATATAGCCAGAGGAACATACATCATTCTAAGACACTTGTACATGCATGTTTACTGCTGTACTATTCACAATAGCAGAAACATAGAACTAACCGTACTGCCCAACCTAAGTGGACTAGATAAATAAAATATTGTACATATACATGATGGGGTCATAAAGAACAAAATCATGGACTTTGCAGCAAACTGGGTGGAGTTGGAGACTCTAATAATAAAGTGAACTATTATGGAAACAAAGAACTGAATACTGCATGCCCTCAGTTGTAAGTGGTCCCTGAACATTAGTCACAAGAGGAGGATCGGCAGTCACTGGACACTGCTATGGGAGGGAGGAAGGAGGGTGGAGGGCATGTGAAAATACAGAAGTCCACTACCTGTGGGTGTGAGGGCCAGTTAGAAGTCCAAACTTCACCTGCATGCAGCCTACTTACGTAGTCAATCCTCATTTATATCTCACATCTCTATAATAAAATTTTTAAAAAAAATTTCAGGAGGATGATTTGAGTAATTTCTCCCACTCTCCTCACTCAGTTGCTTTGCAATAATAAACTGTCTCCACTGTCATGGCTGCATCAGTTTTGGTTTTTCTGAGAAGTGGGCACAGGAACACAGTCAGACTGTAACAACAATGATTTGGGGTCTATTTTCAACCCCAGATCTTCCAGCATCAATGTTGGAAATCTCACAAGACTGTGTGTTATAAGCCACTGGACTCTTTCCCTATCAGTCTCTAAGCCCTGCCTAGGGTGGGGCCAAGCATGTGATTTCTTTCTTTTCTTTATTATGCAGATCCATAATCTAGTCTTTAGTACTGGCTCATGTTTTTCCACTCTTTTCTTGGCTTATGTCACTACACTTGAATCTTTGAACTTCCTCTTTTTCTTTCTGCTGGAATCTTCTGGCTGACTGACAGAATGACAAAATCGGGCATTATTCAGATCTGCTTTGCAGCTGCACTGAAAGGGACTCTTCAATTGAATGGAACTCGTCAAGGCCGCCCTTTCTATGATTTTTCAATTTGTGCTTTCCAAAGTTTCTACTTTTGTTTCATCCTGTGGAGTACAAGGCCTTAGAATCTGTGCAAGAAAGCAGTAAACCCAAGTGACAGAGCAACCCAACGAGCATTCAACAGGCACGTGCAGAGCGGAAGACAGTATGTTTCTATATTAAGAATGCCTTTTCAGAGCATTTGAAAGGAGTCTGGGTAGTAGTTTACCACATGTATAAATCCAAAAGCAGCAGGAAAATGGGAAAGGAGAAAGAAATGTCTGGAAGTATTTGAAAGTAAATATCCTCAAAGTCAAGTTTTCAGATCTAAGTAGTAAAAACTCTCATTTTTTAAAATTTTATTTTAGAATAGTGGGGCACATTTGAGGATTTCCTACATAAGTATGTTGTGTGAAGGTGTGATTTGGGTTTCTAGTGAAGCTGAGGAGAAATGTAAACTAGTTCAACCTTTGCAGAAAGCAGTGTGGAGATTTTTAAAGATTTCTCAAAAATTGAGCTGTCATTCAATCCAGCAATCCCACCCATGAGAATGTATCCAGAGGAATATAAACTGCTTTACCAAAAAGACACCTGCATGAATATGTTTATTGCAGCACTATTAACAATAGCAAAAACATGGAACCAACCCAGATGCCCACCGAAAGTAGACTGGGTAAAGAAAATATAGTACATAAGCTGGGCTCGGTGGCTCAGCCTGTAATCCCGCGCCTTTGGGAGGCTGAGGTGAGTGGATTGCCTGAGCCCGCAGGTTCGAGACCCGCCTGGGCAGCGAGACCTCATCTCTACATAATCAAAAATCAGCC